AAAAAATATTTAATTTAATTTTATTTTATGTGTATGAGTGTATTGCCTGCATGTATGTGAGTGCACCTGTGTCGTGCAATGCCATGGAGATCAGAAGAGGGCTTCGGATTCCCCTGGAGCTGGAGTTAAGGACAGAACGTAGCTGTCATGTGGGTGCTGGGAATCAAACCCGGGTCCTCTGCAAAAGCAGTCAGTGCTCTTAACTGCTGAGCCATCTCTCCAGCCCCTGGATCCTCTTTCTTTTGGGACAATTCCTGCATACCATGATGTAGGAATTACATATACTGATTAATAGGCACTCAGAAGTGTGTATGTTACATTGTGGTGAAGAGTGATGTTTTCAAAATGCAATAGACTTTGTAATTCTTTAAAAAAAAATCCATTTCAGTAGATTCTTTCACACACATACATCTGCTCAAAAATTTATTTATTTTTTTAAAACCAGCATAACAAATAACTCTGTAGTTTGTTTTACGAGGGCTAATTAATAGGTACTTACTCATTAAAGACTAGGTCTGGCGCAAAATAGAGAAATTGGCTGTTCGTATGTTTGTACGATCTCCAACTCAAGGCAAATGAAGATAGACACATCCAAGAATACTGGATGAGGGTAATTTGGTCCTCAAGAGGCAAGTTTTTAAATCCTAGAGAACAGAACAATTAATCACAGAAAGACACTTAGCATGTTGAGAACATTCCAGGAAGAAGTCAGCTCCCAACCACTACCTTTCTCTAACAGATTCAAATCAATTCCACAGGCATCTACAGGGACCCACTGCGTGCCTAACCCTGCACAAGGCTTCATTTCCATTTACACTAAATGCTTGGGGGTGGGAAGTAGGGATCTGCTGGGACATATCACACCAGAGTCCAGTGAGGTTCCGCATAGGTAACCACCATACCAAATCAACCTGTAAAACTTGCCTCATCACACCCACAACCAACAGTGCCAACTTTAAGAGGATCCTCGCCATCCTCGCCATCCTTGCCCATCCTCACTTACATATCTGCAAGAATGGCAGAAGACTTTAGCTTCTTTGACTTTGTGGTACCTAAGAAACCATACTCCTTGCTTCCTATCCCTGGGATAACGTCAGCCTTTGCCAGGACTCTGCAGTGGAGCAGCGTCCTTAGCTCTCAGGAGGCACTGAGGTCCCCTCTTGTTCTTCTATCACTCGTCTTCCCAGTTGCATTGTACTATTCTCTGGACCGAAAGCCTCAGTCACACAAAGCCCCACCTTCTGCCACAGGCTGCAGATTGACCACTGGTAACCTCAGAAACTGCTTTGGCTTCATGAAACCAGTGCAATGTGACAACATCCCTAAATGTGACTTCTGTAGATCAACAGGGCCTTGTTAACATAATTGTATAGTGTAGAAAATGACCAAAAGGTAGGGATTTCAAGGATGCTTTAAGGGCGTTCAGGACAAGGAGGGATTTTGTGTGTGTCTGGTGTATATGCACGTATGTGCATGTGTGTATACTGGTGCATGTGCCTGTGTGTGCCTGTGCCAGAGGTCCTCATCAGGGTGTCTTCCACTGTCATTCTCCACCTTACTTTTTAAGACAGGGTCTTTCCCTGAACCTACAGCTCATAAATTCTGCTGAGTTGTTTGGCCTGCAAGCCCCAGGGATCTGCTCTCCCTTCTCTGTCTTTCTGGTGCTGGGGTTACAGGCCTGCTCCAGTGCCCTTGGCTTTTTTTTTTAACCCCTCACAAGGTGCTGGGGACCCAAACTCAGGTCTTCATGCTTGTGCAGACACTTTACTAACCATCTCCTGAGTGCCAAGGAGGAATTTTTTACAGGGAAGGGTTGGTCAGGGTGTCTTAAGAGGCCAGTGCTAGGCCTGAATTCCCTGGGCCTCTGAGCTTAGATAAGACCTGGTTTTGTTCTGCTGAGAATCAGCTCAGTATGACCTTACTAACACTGTATTTTACCTCATTGATGCTTTGGGGATGAAATGTTCTCTTTCAGTCCCTAACACTAGCTATGCATCTGTCCTAAGAGCAGCAGAAGCCTGAACCCCACCGTTCCCGGAAGGCAGGAAATGATCCCAGCATCCAGACTTCACCCACACATTCAATCACTTTGGATGTCAGTGGCCCCATACTGACATTGGGATGCTGTGCAGGGGGGAAGTCACTGCACTGCTGATCTGGTAGGGACTCAGAGCCTGAGGGGACGCGTGCCTACCTGGAAGTACCTTGGCCCACTTCACCACCTGGATCATCTGTTTGCCTGCCAGGCGGTTGAGTGTGGAGAGCAGGTTCTCTGCTGTGTCTGGTTTGGAATTGTCGTAGCCTGCATATACGATCTCTGGCTCGATGTTCTCCAGGATCATGGCCGGGGACGGCGCTAGTGCACGTGTGATGGTGGCGAGCTGTGGGACCAGCGTGGAGTTCACCGAGGGCTCCTTGGTAGGAGCAATGTATGTGGTCCCTCCCTCGGGGCTCTGTGGTGGTGGGGGTGGTGGCTGCTGTGGCTGCTCTTCATGAAGGCCTTTTAATTTCCCCAATTTCTTTGACTTCCGAGCTGCGAAATGTAAAAATCAGAAGGGATAAGGGCAAATGAGCATGATCTCATATATAATACATTGCGTGAGGCAAACTGTAGGGCCATTGATTTGTATTCACAGCGTGCTATCTTTCCTCCTAAGGAGTTCTTGTACCCAAAGGAGCATTCATTACCTTGAATAGCTTTCTAAGGAAACCGGCAAAGCTCCTGGGTTACTGCTGTGGATAGCAGGCTAGCAGCTGCCTCGTACTTTCCACACCCAGCACACATCTTTCTCACGGTCTGCATGGAGACCTGTGGTTACCTGGAGGTGACCAAGCCTCATCCTTTCCTCACCAAGTGCTCAGCTTGGTGGAGGGGAGGAGGGTGGTGCACAGAATAGGATGCAAAACTGTATCACAGTGCAGAACTTGGGCTGATGACAAAAAGTAAAAATAGCAAGAATATTTAGAATACTCAATATCAGGCAAATTCTAAATGGCTTATGCAAAATTCCCAATTTAACAATTATTTTGAGTAGGTACTATTAAGATTGCTTTAGAACAAGTAGACAGACTAGAGCTTATGAATTTGTCCAATCACAGCAGTGCACAGGAGACAGAGTTTAGAGGATGAGTGATTGCCCCAAAAGCTAACATCCTGGGATTTGGCAGAGGTGAATGGGGAAGGTGTATAAATGGAAAGGTAGAAAGAAAAGCTCAGAAGTGCTAAACTGAGCTTATGGCTGTGGTAATCATTGATTTTGTGATTATAATGTTTTCAATTGGAAAGATGGCTCAGTGGTTAAGAACAGTGACTGTTCTTGCAGAAGACCCGGGTTCTAATCCCAGAACCCACATGGCAGCTAACAACTGTCCATAACTCCAGTTCCAGGGGATCTGACAGCCTCTTCTATCCTCTGCAGGCACTGCACGACATGGATGCACTTATCTACATGCAGGCAATACACTCATACACATAAAATAAAAATAATAAATAAAAAAATTCTTTATGGACCAGATACTACTTCTATTTAATCTTAGGATCCCAAACTTACCTCATTGAACATAGAACAAGGCTATGAACTAGACTTTAAAAATGAATCATTTATACAATTACAGACATTAATATTCACATTCATCACAGACAAAACCTACAATTCAGTTTAAAGAGAGGCCATCGTCCAAAATAAGTGCATTATATCTGTTGCACTGACATTACCTATTAGAACTGAACTTAGCATAAGACTAAGACATTATGTATGTCCTAACAAAATTATTTAAAAATCTTAATCATTTGTTAATAGACTACAGCCTTCAATGAAAGATTTGAGGCAGAAGAATCTAATGTTCAGGATCTTTTGAAAGAGGACCAATGTGTCTTATTCATACACTGCTGACAGGAATCTGTTGACAGCACGGTATGGGTAACTGGGATGCTTCTGATGAGCAAATGTGTGAGTGACAACAAACCAGAAAGTCTTGACAAAGAGCCTCAAACTGATAGATAATCTCAGATGCTGGTTGATTAATCATTCCAGAGGAGCTTGAAGGAATCTTCCAGAACATTCAGTGGTCATTCAGCCAGTCAGATCCCTGGAACTGCTACTCTGTCACGCAACTCTTCACGGAGTCTCAGTTGGTCTACTTGGAAAATGGGGATCATAACTTTTTCCTCTCCTGTCTCACAAAGGGCTAAATGGCTATGACATTTAATATATGTTAGAGAGGGTTACTGATACCTGAAATAACATTTCAATGTGGCCATTATTTAGAATATTAAAAATATTCTAGGGGCTGGAGAGATGGCTCAGTCCATAAAGTGCTTGCTGCACAAGAATGAGGACCTGAATTCAGATCCCCAGCATTCACATGAGAAGCCAGGCATGGCGGCACATGTCTGTAATCCCAGCATTAGGGAAGCAGGGATGGGAGGATCCCTGAAGTTTGCTGGCCAGGCAGTCTAGCCAAACTGGTGAGCTCCAGGGTCAGGGAAAGATCCTGTCTCAACAAAACAGGGTGAAGAGCAATTGAGAGAGGCACTGACATAGACCCTATGGTCTCCACATGCATGTGCATGCATGTGTGTGCACACCTATACACATGCACATACACGTGTGCGTACACACACAGATACACTAGACTCTGTGCTGTCTCACACTAGACTCTGTGCTGTTTCACATTTTAATGGCATTTGAGAGGCAGAGGCAAGAGGATTATCATGAATTCAAGGCCAGCCTGTGCTTGACAGTGATTTTGAGGTTAACATGGGCTACAGAGTGAGATCCTGTCTCAAAAAGCAAAAACCAAAATAACAATTACAAAATTCTAGATCACTAAAATGCTCTCATACTTTACATCATGAGGCTGATTTGTTGTTAGCCATAATTTGATAGAATAGAAACAGCCATGGGTGATATTTTTACATTTCATTAGAAGTGATATTTGCTTGAAAATTAATTATAAAATTCATATTTGTTTTATGTCTGAGGTTTATAATGCTCTGTTGATTCTCATGTCTGATTTAAGGTCAATACTAGGAATATCATAAAGAATATTTGATATTTTCTCTGGCACTTACACTCCAGGCTGTTGTCTGTAGTAAAACTGTTGAGCAGGTTATCAATATTATGTTTAGCATTTCAGTTATTTTCAACCTTACACTATGATTTTGTGAGTACACGAGGGACACTTGGAGTGAGGAAATAATTAGGTAATCAGTTTCTTCAGTGGGTGGATTTTCAGCTACATGTCTTTACCTACTGTCTTTTCTAAAAGTCCAGGGAGTATGGTTACATACTTAATTATTAGTCAAAGTAATTTTTTAAAAATGTACGAAAATTTTATGCTGTTCTGGAATGTAAACATTTCAAAATGGGCAGTACACATTTTATGCTGTTCTGGAATGTAAACATTTCAAAGTGGGCAGTACACATTCTTGGAAGATCATACTATGCTCTCTGGTGCTCATGTGTACTCGACAAATGTTGACTGAATAAACTTGTTCCTTTTTAAACATTAATAAATTTCACAAAGCATTACATATATGAAACATTAATTTATTTCCTCGTGGAAAAATGTAGGCAAGATTCTGAGCATTTTAGATAAAATTTCTGAGTTCCTAATTATTATTCCTTTTCAAAATTTATACTGTGCAATGACCCATTGGTGAACTTTCTACTGTTAAAATGTTATATTTAAAATTATAATAAGTTACATTTACTGAGTACATACTTTCTGAGCACAGCAGGTGTTTTTAGGCAAGCAACACACACCAGGCCCCTGTGATTAGGTACTATTATAATTTCCATTTTGTCAGGTGAAGAAACTGAGGAAGTGAGGGAGAAATACTTTTTCAAAGTTGTAGAGCTGTTAAATATCACAGCGAATGGTTGAATCTATCACAATTCCCAGAACACTCTGACTTCTTTGCTATGCAGTCTCTCTTCCAATCCTTTCTTCTTCATCTACTTAGTATTACTTTCATTGCTTTGAGATTAGCACCTGCTTCAAATCCAACTGTATAATTAAGATGTTTGCTAATTACATAGGAACAATTTTGGGATGCTTCTATAATTCAAAATATCAATGCAACATAGATTTGGGGGTACGGTATATTACTACATTCTGTGGAATTAATGGCTTGGGGAATCTCATAGTCCCAGGTGTCCAGAGCCATAGTCCATCTCTTAACTCTCTGCAACACCATCTCTCTGTCTGTCTGCCTGTCTCTGTCTGTCTGTCCGTCTGTCTGTGTGTTCCATAAATATGAATGTAAATGTCTCCCACTCTCATTGAAACTCACTTAAAAGAGGGATTTCACTTATTTGTACTGGATTTTATAGTAACTAGTGTATGTCACTTTTCTGTTGCTATGATAAAACACTATGACCAAGGCCGAAGTGTTTATTTGGCCTATGGTTCCAGAGGGATGAGTCCATCATGGTGGATGAGACATGGTGGCAGAGGCAGCTGGAGCAGAAAGCTGAGCATTCATATATTCAAGCACATTCAGGAAGCATAGTCACTGGAAGTGTGGCAAGGCTCTGAACTCCCATGTGTCTCTCTGGCCCCTAGTGACAGGCTTCCTCCAGTAAGCCTGCACCTCCTAAACCTCCAAAACAGCACCACCATCTGAACAAGTGTTCATGTGCTTGGAGCATATGGGGACACTTTGAATTTAAATCATCACTGTGTGTCCAGAGGTCACTCTCAGATGCCAAAAAGATGCCAAGACCTTATTTACTAGCAACACCTTGGCAGCCACCATCTCCTGGCTGGCACTGCTAGGAAACAGAACTTCATAGATTCTCCATGAATTCATGTCTAGGATCTGGCAGTGGGAAGCCCTGTTTCCTGTCCTGACCAGTACTCACAACAGCAAGCTGGGAGCACCCTGGTGGTACTCTACAAAGATTGTTAAGATTCTCCAATGTGATCAGCAGACTTGCTGAAGCCTTGCAGCATGGTATAGCATGACTTCCTGTTTGAGTTTCTCTACCTTTGCTGCTTCTGTGAACCCCTGTGTACCCTTTGGACAAACCACTTGGGAGACTCAGTGATGGGTGCCTGGGAAAGAGGCCATTCATTTTTTTAATACTTTATTTGTTATTTTTATTTTATGTGTATGCATGTATTGACTGCGCGTAGGTAAATGCGCCCATGTCGTGCAAGCCCGCGGAGGACAGAAGAGGCTGGTCGGATCCCCTGGGACTGGAGTTATGGGCAGTTGTTAGCTGCCATGTGGGTGCTGGGATTTGAGCCCAGGTCTTCTGCAAGAAAAACCAGTGTTCTTAACCGCTGACCTATCTCTCCAGCCCCAAAAGAGGGAGTTCTTGCATCTGGCAGTGAAATAATGGGGACAACAAGTTTTTCCTACTATCATTTAACTTTCTTTCTGTGTTAGAAATGGTGATCAGGATGGTTTGTTTCCTGTCTGGAGTAGATATAAGACTGATTCCTAGAAAATGGGGATTATTTTTTCTCCCCAGCTGTGCCAATGTCACCAGAAACAAGGTGAGAATTCTGTCAATTTAGAAA